CCCAACAGGAAACTGTATCCAGACCTTAAATTTTCTGAAAACACTAATGCAAGCAGGAAGAAAGTTCATTAGTGGTTAATCATTCGCTTACTCAGCAAACCTGAAAGCTCTGAGGCTACAGACTGTGTGCATCCACGGGGTGCTCTGAGGGCAGAGCTGGACAGCAGAACAAGTACCATTTTGTCACATTTGAACCCTTCCACGAGTGCTGTGATGGACCTGGTAACGCCAGTGGGGGAGTCCCAGCCCTCCTCCTCTCCCCCAACCCCCCTGGCAGCCCCTTCCTGCACCCCCAGGCAGATGGAACCCATGTAAGCAGTGGGCCTGCATTGTTCAGGGAATGAAATGAGCCTCGTTTGTTAGAGCTGGTAAAGAACACAAGTGCTGAGGGGCTTGAGGGGGGTCTTTTTGGTTCCTGGGGTTTTTTTTAAAGTTGTTATTATTATGTCTTTAAGCAGCAGTAAGGGGACAGATCAGCTCTTCCCCAGAAAGAAAAATCCAGCATCCTTCAGGCCACTCAACAGTGAGCTCTTAAAGGGGAGTTTCCTGCAGCACAACATCTCTCAGCCCACCTGGCTCCGAGGGTGCCAAGTGGGACCTCATGCTGCCAAAGGTATCCTACAGCTTGGGCTTTTCCCAGGGTCCAAAGGATAGGTGACTCCCATGACACAGAAGCTCTTGAAGCTTCAACATCCCAGCCATGCTACTGGATGGGTCCAGCACCGAGCAAACCTGTCTCAGCATCATCTGACTGGTTCTGGACACAGGCCCTGCCCTTCAACCCTGAGACTAGCTCAGCTGGTTAGAGCATGGTGCTAATAATGCCAAGGTTGTGAGTCTGATCCCTGTACAGGCCATTCACTTAAAAGCTGGACTGCATGATCTTTGTGGGTTCTTTCCAACTCAGAATATTCTGTGATTCTAATTTCTTTGCTGCTGCACCATTGGCACAAGAGCCACGGTGTGGGCAGCAGAGGCTCCCGAGAGAGCCCAAATGCAGTTTAACCTCAATATGGGTGGGAAGGGTTTGGATGCTCCTGGCTATGGATTTCAAAAGGCTCTTTGCACTGCAGAGTCCCCAGGTTTCCCAGTTGGTACACGATGCAGCAGCCCCTGCTCAGAGCTGTGTTTCCCTGGATGCCCCCCACAAGTGACCATTTCAGCATCCTCCCCCTTTTGTCATAGTCTTGGGGGGTTGTGTCTAATACCTGTATTAATGCCAAATAGAAATTTCTCCTCTCTGGTCTTTTTTTCCTGAGCTTCCCTCCGCCAACATTTACGTTGCCAAATTTTGCAGAGAAGTTATTTTATTTAACTGGAGAAACCTCCCCCTTCCTCTGAAACCTCTGTAAAAGATTTCATTAAATCTCTTTGTCTTAAAAACACGAAGCTAAACCCAGCCCATTATTTTACTGTATATTTTCTTAGCTTTGAGAGACCCAGATGAAGTGACCTAGAGAAGCCAATTCCCAGCACATCACCAGCATCACATAACGTGCTGCAGAGGCTGCTGGGGAGATGTGTCTGTCCTATTTAACATGGGAATGTCTTACTCATAGCCTGGAAGAAAAAAGTGTAGAGAAGCCTGTTCATGAGATTCCCAGTTGATAGCAAATGGGAGGCACTGCAGGTACCCACGGGAGCAGGAATGCAAAGGGGCTTGGCAGGCTCTGAGCAGGGAATAGCTATTAAATGGAATTCAGCAGGGACGTGCCAGTCTCTGATGGACAGGGAAGGAAGTGGCCTTGTGCCAAACAAAAGAAACTGGGAAGTGGGAATCAAGAAAATACTGTGGGAATCAAGAAAATACTGTGGGAGGGGAGGCAGGCTACCAGGGAGGATAAGGGCAGCCTGAGCCTCCTTGGTGCTGGGCGCTCACCCTGCCTGTGTGGCCGAGCTGGGTGGGGTCCAGCTCCCTATGCCTGCTGTGATGCCCCAGCTCTGGGCACACTACCAAGGAGGCACTGACAGATCCCAGGGATGTTTGCAGAAATCTTATGGACATGATGAAAATAAAGAAGGATAGTAAATAATTGACAGCCATAAATCCAAGTGGAAGAGAAAGTATTTTAAAAAAAATAAAGGCGACAAAACTTAAATTAGAACAGCAATGAAAGTGTGGGAGAAAATCTACCCTCCCTTGCCAGGATTTTTCTGATGCATGAATTTCTTCAACTGCCTAAGAAAGCCTCAAGGGCTTGGCAAGAAGAGGAGAGAGAATAAAACTTGAGTTCCATAAAAACCACACAGGGCACCAAAAGGGAGGAAAACCATCACACAGTCAGTACAAGCAGAAGGACGGACTGCCTTACCTGAGGATCCATCCCACTTCCCCAAGGGCTCAGTGCTGTGGTGACCTCCACGGGCCTCAGCAGCAGCCTCTGACCTCGCTTTTGCAGATTAACTGAACCCAAGATTAATTGCAGATTAATGCCACCCAAGCCATTCCCTGGGGGAAGAGGTGTCCAGTTGGGAGCCTCTCCCTTCTGCACTCGAGGGCTGCTGGGCAGTGGCCGGGAAGAACTCTCCTAGGAGCTCTTCAATTGGGAATCCCTTGGCCATTAGGTACACAGGAATAAATGCAAATAAACCCAGATGTCTTTAGCGCACAGCAGATGCTCAGGTGCAGGAAGTGTCTCTCCTTCACTCTGGGACATTGTCTTTGCAGCAGAGAATGGCAACAGCGGGGACGATGACGCCCCGTCATTGCCGGCCACCCCGAACCATCCCGGGGAAGGGTCCAACTTACTGTGGCTTTCCAAAGGCTGTGCATGTCAGCTCCAGCGGCTCCCCTTCTCTCGTCAGGCCTTGCAAGGGGTAATTCTGAGAAACCCGCACTTGAGGCTTATCTGCAGGACACAAAACATCGCTCTGTGAGCCCTCGGTCACGCCGGGGCCGCCGCCGCTCCCCCTCACCCGCTCCGTGCCGGCAGCAGGAGAAGGTGAAGCTGGCGGCGCCTCGGATCCCACCACGGCACTTCCCAGGAAAGACATTTTGCTGCACACTTTATCTGTGAACTCGCTCAAGCTAAAAGGAACTCGTTTGCCTTCACGCTGAGGTGAAGCCGGAGAGACCCGCGGTGCCCGGAACTGACAGGTTTTGTGGTGTATCGGCGGTTCTGGCACCACAGCACCCGGAGCCCACGGGTGTGAACATGCTGGGCTGGACAAGAGATGCTTGTTAGATACACAAACAGAGCCACAGCCACTGCTGCCTTTGCGTAAACAACAGGATGTTGTATTTTGTCCAGACGAAGCTCCTCTAAATCCTACAACAAACAGAGAATTAAAGCATGGATAGTTAGGGAGCCAATTCAAAAACACTTTAGTAAGACCCTGCAGGAAAAAAAAAAGAGCCAAACCGCAAACCTAGAGTCCACAATTAAAAAATTCATTACCTCCCACAACTGAAACAGAGATTAAAAATGCAATCTGAGCTGTAGCTAAAACGTTATCAGCGCAGGAAATCAATTCAAGGCTACAAGTGCCATTAAGCCATAGATATTTTTCAGGAATTTACTCAACTGTAAGGAACAAAGGAAGGCAAAAAATCAGTATGCATAAAGGTTGAAACCATTTAAATGTTTCTATTTCCTTTGAGAGTAACTGCTACCCAAAATATTGGCTGGCTGCATTTTATTAACTGTGTTTAACTCATTAACATGCCTCCTATGGAATAATAGAGATTAGGAAAAAAACCCTGCGTGTCAGGATTTAACCAATTTAAACTCTCATAATTTTCAGTAATGGAATAAGCTACACGAGTAAATCCTCTCCCGAGATGACTCCACCACAACATTTCATCAACTAATCCCCGTTACAGATGCTCCTCGCAGCTCTGGAACTGGGGTGTCCCTGCGGGCTGGGGGGGTGTCACCAGCCCCGAGGCCAAGTCCCAATCCCACGGGAAACGGGGCAGCCTTGGCATGCTGGAAAGTGTGCTCCAGCCCTGGCAGGGATGTGGCAGCAGCACTGCACAAGGAGCACGGGAGGACGAGTCCAGCCCAGCGTTACGCAGCTGGTAAATCACCCGCTGCATCCCCAGCGCCGCGCTCGGGCTCAGCCACTCCCGTCCACAATTCCCACCCCCGGCCATCTGCTCCCCTCTCACGATGTGCTTTGCGGCAGCACCACGAGCCCATGCCAGGAGCACGGATACTGTTATATTCATGCTGTGGAAGGAGCAGGAAACCTCCCAGTTTACCCAGCACATAGGGAATGCAGCTGAGGAAGCTCTGTGCTTGCCTTTGCCGTTTGCCTCTCCTGCTGCTCCCATCCCCTTTCCATTAGCTAAGTTTTAGTATTTCTAATGAGTTGTTTACCACTGACAATTACTTATGGAAATCAGGAGGAATACACTGTACTCCTTGCTGTATGAAGAAGGAACTGCCAACTCTGTGAGCTCCCACCAAGCCAGGTGAGCCCTTCCACTGCCACTTTCCAGCCCCAGAGGCTTCATTAAACCAACAGTGGCAGTGATGTGGACCTGTCCCATTTGTATCTGGGCAACATCAAGGTGTCACTTGTAACAGAAATCTGGGTCTGTCAGCACATATACCCACACTGGTGAAGCCAAGAGCTTCCCAACAGTTATCACAGCAAACATCTCTCCCAAGCAGGGACTTGCCAGCACAGCAGGAATTACAGCAGGCACTTAGGAAAACATTTCCCGAGCCTGAAGGACTCAGAGGGATGGGTGGGCACTCTGGAGGGATGGGTGGGCACTCTGGAGGACCAGCTGGCATTAGGCTCATTGCATGCAAAAAAAAAGAAATTTCACCCACCAATCTGGAGGGGTGGTGGTGTCTTTCTTCCCTTTGTTTAAGGACGTGCCTTTCGACAATCTTAAATTCTACTTCCACTGCTCACACCCTGCCTCGCACGAAGCGAGTGTATTTCCCTCGGATTATGGACTCGGAGAGCAGCTCTGTGAAATGCCGAGCGCTGTGGGACCCCCAGCCCGGCTCCTGCGCGGGGCTGTGACATTTACAGCGCACACGGGCAGAGCCCTGATGGTTCCAAAGCCTGGACCAGCCGTTTGCCACCGCTCTGTTAAAAGGGCCCCGTTCCAGCAGCAACATCTGTGGCTGCATAACGTGGGGCGACGACTGTCTCGGGTTGTGACACAGGATGCAAGGCAAGAAGTGGCAGTTTTTAACACCAAGTGCATTCCAGCAGCCCGAAATCTTCAACTTGGAACTTCATCACACCACACCGCTGGATTACTACATAAAAATAAACACTTGCATCTATGCACCCAAGCCCCTGTGTGCTCCACGGCAGCCAATTAGACCCAACAACTCACAGCTATTTCCTACTATGCCTCTTTCTAGAGGCTTAAAAGAAACCAGCCTTGTAATTTAATAAGGCACCTTTATTAAGCTAAATTCATTCAAAAGCTCAGAGTGATATACAAGGTTAAATACCAGTCATCTAAAGGTTACGCTGTAGCAGCAACCAATTTGAAAAACTTATTACAAAGCCTTTCTGCATTTGATGAGATTTCTTGCACAACAGGAGAGGTGTGTGCCTGAGCATCGGGGACCACTGGGGAATGTAACACCCCCCCAGAGGGACCATGCACCCCAAAATCCTCCTTCTCCCCTCAGGATGCCACTGGCCACCCCAGGCTGCACCCACTGCCTTTCACAGCTTTCAAGCTCCATGGTCGGGAATTTACCAAACCACTCCAGTTATTCTGCATTTGTCCCAGTTCTTCCATTTTTAGCTGCTCACCCCATTTCTGCACCATCAGCAAAGATTATTAACAGCGACTTTTTAAGAACTTCAAATACTTCAACTGAACAGCATCAGGCCAAGCACCCAGGCCCCTGAGTTCCCTCTAAAAATACCAGCATTGCTGATTACTCCCTAATGACTATCCTTTGAGATCTGCCAGTTAGTGATTTCTTAATCCATTTAAACATGTGCTTCATCGATAATGCTTAGATGTCATTAATCAGCCGAGATAAAACGTTACACTGAGTTTGGGCCCTTACAAAAGCCTAAGCCTATTATTTCCACCCGTTTCCTTTCATCAGGCCAACCCACGATCTTGTAGGTAGGTGAGCTCACCGCCCCCAAGCCTGGCAGCAGGAGGATTTGGCAAAGCTGGCTCCTCGTGTGCCTGGGGTACCACGGTGCTCCGGCTGGCACAGCCACGGGACCCTCGCTGACCACCAGACAATGTGCTCCCTGCTGAGGTTGAACACAGCCAAAAAAAGGCTTCTTCCCAAGTGCTGCTTTGGGGAACCAACACACAGTGTCTTCAGCAGTGCCAGACCCTGGCCAACAGAGAAACCTGCAACAAGGACTCTGTCAGGGATTCAGAGGAACAGGCTCTGGCCTGCACTGAGAGATGAGGTGCCGGGTCCAACTTTAAAATCTGTTTTCTGACCCATGTACGAATTGCTGACGCGCCTCTTGGCAAACCCGGTGCCAGATGGCATCCCTGGGAGCACCATCCGCGGGCCAAGCCGTGTTCCTGCCCACTGGAGGTAATTCCAGCCCCAGCATTTCCCAGATAATGCTTTACACATCTCCCTTCAGGTGGGCCCTGCTTTGTCCAGCTCCTCATCCCTGCTCTGTTCTGTGCCCAAGGGAGCTACTCAAAAACCTGACTTCTGTAAGTCTCTGACCTCACCCAGGGCAGAGCAGGAGGAATGTGGTCTTCAATGCTGAAAGAAATCAGCAAAGTTAAGACTGATCTGCAGGTGTAAACACGACGGCCACCTCTATTCCAAATTCCAGCGGGGATGCTCATCAGGAATGCGCCCTGCGTCAGAGCCAGCCCAGCCCGGCAATCCCCTGCCTGCTCCTCACCTCTGACAAGGACGAGAGGCTGCACTGCTGATTTTCAGCCAAAATACAGAAATCTATTCAGTAAATAGATCCCGTGTTTAAAATAAGGAACGAGCACAGGACTGGCAGGTCACAACTTGTCTGGAAGAGCCTGTCAGCCCCAAACACGACTCTGCAAAATTCACCCTCAACAAAAGCAATTTAATCACTTTGCTTGTCGCGGGAAAAGGAATGCCAGAGCCCGACAGGCATTTTGGGGATAAACACTTCTCTTTTAAATATTTAAGCACATGCTGCTGCTTAATGCCTGCGAATGGCAGAGCCCTGTCCGCCCCACACGCTCCACGCTCCCAACAACATTCCTCCGAGAAAACCTTATTAATGAGCTCGCAAACGAGCACCCAACTGGGAAATGTCACAAACAAGAGTGGCTAATGCCCCAGAAAATCAAATAACTGAACACTCGGCTGATTGTGGTGCTTTTCATATTCACTAAAAGAAAAAAAAAAAAGTAGCTTTAAATCAAAGTTTTCTGAAGGGGTCAACACCTCACCGAACAAAACAACTCATTTATTCACTTTTAGCGATCTCCAGATGATAAATTACATTGATGTTAATCACTTCACTGCATACTATGCAATTAATATTTGCTCTGGATGGAAATGTAAGGATTACTGGAGATGAGGCAGCAAATGTATGCGGCCGATTTTAAACATAATTGGGCACAAAAAGTTCTTCCATTGCAACAGCAGAGGCTGTAACAGACTCCATCAGGGCAGACTTTAAAAGTACATGTGTAAATATTATAAAAATGAATGCATGATTAATTATAACTTCAGAAAAGCACAAAAAGCCAACCCAGAGAAAAGGCCAAATCAAGGCTTTGACACTCACTTCCAGCACCACGTAATGAGAGAAGGAAACGCACTGCAAGGGCTCAACTCTCCCAGAATATCTGGTTCCATTCAATTCCTTAATGATATTTTAATGCATTTTGTTGCTTCATTTCCTTTCTAAAATTACACCCAACACACTGGTCTCCCATCGCTCACTGACAGATCTGAGCCACAAAAAGAGAGTGACTGCAGCCAGAACTGGGGATGTTTCCACACCAGTGCCACAGGGCTGTGGCTGTTCATCAGCCATGGAAGTGTTATGGCCACTGCAAATACACACCACCCTTGGTCACACCCTGTTCTCTTTCGAGGAGTGTTACCAGGAGGGTTTCACGCACATTATGGTGCATGTTTGCAGAGCCTTCTTAACAATAACACACCCTACATCCACGTGGAAACATTTATCCTTAACTTCACCACAGGCCAGGCTGTGGCATGGGAGATAGGCAAGAAATGGCTTAGTCAATGAGTGGGGTGAGTTAATACCCAGTACTGCTGTTTTCTGCTTTTTTCTTGGAAAATAAATCCCACAACTTTTGAGTTGCACCTTAAAAAAAAAATCTCTCTCTACTCTGAAATTTAGTCAGACAAAAAATACCTCATTATCTGAGCAGGCTCCATCCATCATCCTCCTGTTCTTCCCCAACACATTTCATGCTCCACTTGGATACATTAAGTGTAGAGAAATACGATGTCTACCTAGAAAAGCATTTTCCTGTGCCCTGCTGATGTTCTGAAGGGGTGGATCTGCTGTGCCTGTGGGGGGGCAGGCAGGATTTGTGGGGAGGGGATGTCAGAGCAGAGAGCTGAACACACAGCCCAGCTAACTGACCTGAGTGATGCCACTCCAGCTGCAAGAAAGGCAGCAACATCCACACAGGATGAGCAAGGAATTCCAGCTGCCACTGCTGCAGAGACCTGGCAGCTGGGTGCCTGCAAGGTAACGTCCTGCTCAGTGGAAGGGCATGGACAGCAGCTGGAGGAGCATCCTCTGCTTGGACTGCACATCCCACACCTAAAAAGCAGCTGAGAATGGATAAGTTAGGCCTGGTTGTAGGAGCCCCAGTTCTCCCAGGGGCTGAGCCCAGCTCCATGGGAACACTGATGGGGATGCCTGTCCACGAGAACAAGAAGCTCCTCCTCCAGCCACACTCTCCCACTGGCCTGTGCACCATTATCTTGAGCCAGGAAAAGCTCAAGGGTAAGAGTTTGCTCTGAAACTGCCTTGTCTTCAAGTTGAGGCCCCTCAGCAGGTATGAGATGCAGGTGTCTGGCTGTGCTCCAGCACGGCGAGTCCCAGAGCCGTTAATTGCCGGGAGCCGCCAGGTCACGACGTGTGACACGTTCCTGGGCTGGGGCTGTTCCGCAGCATCTGCTGCTGCCACGGCAGGAACGGGCCGGGCTAACGGGGTCAGCTCCCAATATCTGAACATAATTGCTTTGAACAGGCTCAGAGTGTAATTCAGAACATAAAACCAAACCCGTCTGAACACCCTGCTCGTCTCTGTTCCCTTCTGAGGAGGCTCCATTGCCTCATTTCCCCAGACAGCTCTGGAACAGCCCAAGGGGATGATAAAAATCGGTGCTAAAGGCAGAAACCTGTGCATGGGATGCAGCAGGACCTCCAGTGTGGGAGCTGAAGGCTGCAGGTGTCTGTAAGACACCCAAAGAACTGTGCTTTAGGGGTGCTTTGCCTGAATTGCACAGGGAAGCCCCTAAGGCTGCAAACCAAAGTGGCCAAGGAGGGATTTATCTGAGGAAGAAGAGAAAAAATACTTTTTTTTTTTTTTTTCAAAAACTGCTGCCCTCTTCTATGCCACCAAACCATCATGATTTCAGAGGAAATCCTTCCTTGCTTCTGAAGGAAGCCTCAAGGTTGTCTGATGCCCTTTCAACCCGGAGAGGTTCCAGTCCCTCCGCAGAACAGGGCAGATGGGATTTTTTGCTCTTCCCCGTTAAGTATTTGATCAAGCCTCACAAAGGTGCTAATGTATTATTAAAGCTAATGGAGCTCTACAAGAAATGTTAATGGACATTAAGTTTGCATAAATGAATTACACATTAGCACAGTCACAAGAAATCTCGTATCTGCCAATTTAGGCAGTATCTGATCATTCCTGTTTTCCTCATTACAGGAACATTACTTCCCGCTAGTTTTGGAGATATGAGAATTGTAACCAAGATGTTCATAATGAAACTACATAATGAAGCAGATGAAATAAATTAATACAAAACTTCCTCTTCTCCTTTCAATGTGAGGTAGTTGAAGGGAACCTACAAAAACAAGAACTTTGAATCATCCCAGCCCCCAGTGTTCCAAGCACCTAGTCCTGCTGCAGGGACTGTCCCACTTTGCTTTTGGGAGCTGTTTTGGAGCAGAGGGGCACGTGTACATAGCTCCAACATTTCCACTAACTGGAAGTCCAGCACAGTTATATTTGGGACCACAGGTATTTCCAGGTACCTGCTCAGAAACCCTGTTACTGTCATGTACAGTGGAGCAGCTCCTAAGGGAAGGGAAATGCATTATTAACACTGAACATGCAGGAAGCAGCACAAGTTGGCCTCAGTCAGTGCTGCTACTGCAGATTCCACAGAATTCCAGTCACTCTGTTGTACAAAACCTGTCGGTGCCGGATGTTCACAGTGCACAACACTGAGTTTCTTTTGCACAGTACCCAGTTTTTGCCAGTAAACTCACCACGGTGGCCAGTCGCTTTGAAGTGGGAGCAGAGAAACACTTTTCAAAGAGATAAGTAGGTTGCTAGAAGAAAAATACTCAGATTTAATCTGTTCTGACAATTATAAAGCACAGCCAGGAACCTTTGATGCAAATTCTACGTACAGAGAGTTATTTCTTCAGAGAATGAAGGTAAGTATTTATGGTATCACAGAGGGCTGGGAAAGTCGTGGCTTTGCTCATGAAGTGGTACCCAACAGTTTGGTTTCTATTCTAAATAACACGATATAATCCTCACGGACGCCGGAATTTTATCACGTAGTGAACGATTCCTGAACTCCCAAGTGAGCAATTTTATACATTAAGAGAATTAAAGGTTCTGCTACTCACACATGACTTCCAGGTAGCGCTGTGTCTGCAAGTCTTTGACCGCAGGGTGATCCACCAGGCAGATGACAGGGACCCCGTCGTCCTCCCGCCCCACCTTCAGCAGGAGCTGGCTGGTCACCGTGTACATGTCAGACCACTGCTCCACCTCCGACTTGCCTGAAGGAGGGGACAGAGAGAGCTGGAGTGATGACAGGATGGAGCACCTGCTGCAGTCAGGCCAACTCCCTCCTGTCCACGTTCCCTTTGGACACCCATCCCATCCTCCTCTCCATCAGGTTCTGGCCAGTTAAAGTCCACAGGATGTTACTGCAATGATTAACAATCCCCTTACACCGTCCCAAAATCCCCACACTCTTAAACAAATGAGCTACAAATCCCCCCCATTCCAACAATTAGCTACCAAAGTGATTGAACAGATTAAATTAATTAAAAGTAGTATTGCTAGGCAGGAGCATTTGCAGTGCTCTGTCTGAGGGAGGGAAAGGCAGTGCAGTGGGAGGGCAGCCCAGCTCCGGACCGGCTGCCCGAGGGATGCCAGCACAGAAACGAGCAGGATGACAACACGAGACAAGACAGGAGAAAAGGGATTTTTCCAGGAACTCAGCAAGCAGCCACTGACAGCACAGCTCTGCTCCAGTTTCAATGCTCTGATCTGTGCCTTTTTATTTAAGAATTCACAGGCAAAACACTAAGAGTTACTTCTGTAGCAGAGCTCTTCCAGACACCAAATATTTCTGTATAATATATGAGAGTGAAACAGGGGACAGACACAGACACACCCTGATATTTGGAGGAAAGGCTTTCCCATGGGCAAAGCCACAGTTCCTGTGATTCATAACCCACAGCCAAGTGTCTCAGTCTCCCTAATTCTGTTAAAAAATAAAATATCTGAAGACTCAGCAGGGTGAGCTGGGATTGCATGAAGCTCAGCCCTCTTCCTAGAGAACAGAAAGCTGGGATTCAACTGCCAACATGAGAAAACTCAATCAAGAAGTTGGACAGGCCAGGTACAAAGGGACAAACACTTTGCCCTGCCATCCCCCAGGATGGGAAAGGGAACCAGAATGGGATCATTAACACCCTGCACACCACAGTACAGGGACTCAGCAGGGCACCACTTTGTGTGGCAGCAGGTTTGCCTGCTTGGATGCTCAGAAGTGTTGGGCCTAAAGAGAGGATTCTATCCTGCCCTTGCAGGGGGGTGGGTTTGAAGTAATGAGTCTGGACTTCTCCGGAGAGCCCATCAGTGTCTCAGACTGGGTAAAGCACAAAGGTGTTGTCAACCAAGCTCACATCTACATGCAGACTTAAACTAACAGCATGTCACATGCAATCAGAGTCAGTGACTTGAATGTGCAAGTACCAGGAGCAACCAGACTTCAGGGAGTCGGAGAAACCCATCTTGGATGAATATTCAACTGAACACGGGGAAAACGCTCTATAAACAAGGGAGCTAGACGTGAAGGTGAATTGCAAATCCTTACAGCCCAAAGCGCAGACCATCCCTCTCAGACCTAAAACAGGGCACAAAGCTACACAAGCCACACAGAAATGAATTCAGTGCACAGCTCTGGGCTCCTCAAGGTCACCTGCAGTTACAGCAGGACTCCAGAACCCGGCACTCGAGGCTGGCAGGTAGGCAGAGGACCAAATGGAGTTCAGCCCCCTGCGTTAGGGAATAATCTGTCTGCCCACACAGTGCTTTGTTCCTCAGCTGGTGCTCAAAGCAGCTCGCTCCACTTTTTTCTTTTTTTCCCCTTAAACTGGCAGCAGAGAACAAACACCCAGCGTTACATAAATCACTTCAGCTCTCTGAACAAAGCAAGTGACTGAGAGGACACATCTACCGGTTAGCTCCTTGTTGCCTTTGAACCATCTGATGGTGGTGGCTGGTCTGCTGGCCATGGCAGTGCAGTTCAGCTCGATCTCTTCTCCCTCCACGGCGGTTTCTTTCTGGATATCAATTACCAAATTGCGTGGTGGGACTAGAATGGAAAACAACACAACACATACCAGATGAAATAAACATCTTTTGATCACTAACACAAGAGAAAACCTCGAGGAAAACCTGTAAAATCTACTGAAGGAAATGAGCAAACAGCATTTATTTGATCTTTCAATCAGTCAAACCCTTTGATAGGTGGTTTCACAGTAATTGGAGTGAGCACTTTCACTCTCCACCAAATAATCACCGCAGTCTCACAAATTATTACTTATCAGGGTTTTAACTTTCTGTTCCCCCTCCCAGGCAGGCACCGTTCCAGGGAGAGCCGCAGCCTCCTGTGCTCCTCGGGTGTGTGCTGCTATTTAAAAATCCAGCTTGACTCCGTGCACATTTCCTGACTTCTCTGACAAGGACAGGAAACACAAAAGCTGACACTTGGCAGTGCATTACTTACCAAGCCTCTAACCTCCATAGCAATTTTTCTCTCCTGCTGTTCAGCTCCAAGGCTCAGCCGTGAGCATGGAAGCAGGCCAGCAAACATCAACTTCATTTCGGATGCTCGAAAAGCCACTGAGCACAAGCACAGAGTGGAATGCAACCACCTTGGGAACACCACTGCCTCCCACCACACTCCCACAAACCACCCCAAAACCACCCCAGCATGAGGAGGGAGCCAGCTCTGCACTCAGCCACAGGCACCACGTCTGATGACAAGTCCTTTGGGATGGAGATCTGCTGCTCTCCCATCTGCCCTAGCTCAAGACTGCCCCAAAACACAAAGGTGCAACAGTGTACTCAATGAAAAATCATCCAAAAATATCAAGAAACAGGCTGTAACTTCAGGGGGTAACAACCACTGCAGCATAGTCCAGAAATGGAACAAATGAGCTCAAAAATTGCAACACTGGAATGAGGAACCTCTTCCCCATGAAAGCACCAGCAGCAAGGCAAAACCCAGGAAAAAGTGAACAGCGAGACTTTGTAGGGCAGAGTCATGGCTTCGGAAAATCCCAGAACTTCCAAAGGAAACTAAACTTTGCTCAGATCAATGTGATTAAGCAACTGCATAGTTCAGATGTGACTCACAGGTCTTCAAGCTAATGAAGAACAAATATGTATAAATACCATCCAGATGATCAAGTGGACTAATTAGTCACTTGTGGCTTTTCTCTAAAAAGAACAGAACAGGCTACATATTTGAGACTTTCACATGTTCCAATTAGGCAAGAATAAATCTACATTTCGTGTCACAGAAGACATGAAAGTGCTGAAGCAAACGCGCGGCTCCCTCCGAGCGCCGACTGCCAAGGGGATGCCTCGACACCTCACTCTGCTCTCCCAAGCCAGCAGCAGCAGAGGCAGATGAGCAAAATTGCTCTGAAAGAGCCTCAGATCTGGGCAACCAAAGTCTGGGCGATGAGCACGAGATCTCTGGCAGGGAACATGTTCCTGTGAGGACCAGCTAACACAGAAAACCACTCCTCTGCCCTGGCTCACTTCCTTCCCTAATTAGGGAGTCAGTAATAGGAAAGACAGGGAAGACGTGCTATCCTTGGTGTCACAGTGCCCAGTCTCTCCATACAAGTGCTAAGGCAAACTGTTTCCTTGTTCACCTTCTAATAATAGACCTTCCTCATCCTTGCCTGCTTCCTGAGCTGAGGTTTGACCTGAGTATGCAATGAAGGTGACAAGAAATCACCTGCTTTAGTGGTGTGG